AACTGGGCAGGAAACTCAGGGGTCCGTGCACACTGGGCAGACGTGCTGTGTAAGAGGACTCCAGGTACATTCCTTCAGCGTTGCAGGTTTCCCACGGTGGAGCTGGGATGCCACTGGAAAGGGGTGGCAGGGGGGCTGCTCATGGAGGACCACCTGCCTTCTATAGCCCCTCACACTGTCCCATGCCGGTTCTGAGGAAGTGTTGGAGGTCCCTGCTGGCTTGCTTTCTGCCCCAGCAGCTCTGCCTGCTCCCTCTCTGCATGAGGCATGAATCAGAGCCTGACTGGCTCCAGTCTTTAGGAAGGGGCTCTCTGAGTTTGCCCGGGAGGGGAGCAAGTCAGCAGACAACCACCCTTGGCTGCCCAGGTCTGGGACAGCAGAGCAGTGTAGTCAGCCTGGTGGCAATTGCTGAGACACCAGGCCTGTTCCTGTCTGGAAGGTCAGGATGTGACCTTAGCTCCCTCCCGGAATCCAGGCTCCAGCCTGTCCTTTGGGGACCCAGTGAGATAACCCCTGCTCAGCAGCCCCAGGTTTGTCTACAGACTTCCTCGACACACAGACACGCACAAACACACACACACAGACACACACACACACAGACACACACACACACAGACACACACACACACAGACACACACACACAGACACACACACAGACACACACACACAGACACACACACACACAGACACACACACACAGACACACACACACAGACACACACACACACACAGACACACACACAGAGACACACACACACAGACACACACACAGAGACACACACACACACAGACACACACACAGACACACACACACAGACACACACACACACAGACACACACACACAGACACACACACACAGAGACACACACACAGAGACACACACACAGACACACACACACACACAGACACACACACACAGACACACACACACACAGACACACACACACACACACAGACACACACACACAGACACACACACAGACACACACACACAGACACACACACACACACACACACATCAATTGCTACTTCCCTGGTGTTCTTGGCTGCCGTCACTCATCTGCCACCCACACACAGGAAACCCGAGGGTCCTGAGGCCATGTGTGGATGGGCGGGAAAGCCATCTCTCTGTGCCAGGGACTGGCAAAGGAGGCCAAAGGTCAGGAGAAGCAGCACCACCCCCACGAGGCCTGTCAGCCTGTGACTAGGCCTTTGCATGAGCCATATTCCCTGCCTCGTACCTTTGGCTCTGTTTTCTAGCTACACATAGATTTTTTTTCCTTTTCTTTCTTTCTTTCTTTCTTTTTACGTGGAAAGTTTATTGGGTGATGGGAAGGGAATGGGAAAGGAAAGGGAGAGAAAAGGAGCCTTCCTTTTTTCTTAGTTTTTTTCCTTTTTTGTTGAGACAATGTCTTCATATAGCCCAGGCTGGCCTCAAATTCACGATATAGGTCAGAATGACCTTGAACTTAAAAACGGTTATTTTTAGTTATGTGTATGTGTCTGCATGTGGGTCCTATGGAGGTCAGAGGAGATGTTGGATCCTCTGAAGCTGGAGTTACAGGCAGTTGTGAGCTATCTGGTGTGGGCGCTGGGAATAGAGAGTAGCAAGTGCTCTCAGCGGCCGAGCTTCCCTCCAGCCTGACTTTGAATTTCTAACCCTCCTGCATCATTTTCCGACTGTGCCCTTGACCACAGCCTGGGAACACAGCAAGCTCCCGGGCAGAGTTGGTGGCAAGGGACTGTAGCACGGACCTTGGTCTTGGAGACTTTCAGGGAGGAAAGTAAGTCCCAGCTTTTCGATGGTCACAGCACCAAGACTGAACAGAGTCACAGACAGACACCATCCTTGAAATAAGGAGTCAGGAACTCCATGAGACCCAGCCTCAGTTAGCCTGCCTAGAAATGGTCGGATCTTCGGGTCCGGCCTTTTTTCCAGAGGGTTCGAAGAGTGATCTTATTGGAAGATGTTGGAAACTGGGTCACGCCCAGGTATTTACAGGTGAGCCCAGGAAAACATGATAATAGCAACAACTAGAGCTTTCACTGTGAGCAGGCTCTGTGTTTTGCCCATTGGAGTCCCATGGTAACCTGTGAGGTAGGAATGGTTACCATCGTCTCCACGTCTCCGGTGGGAAGAAAGGACTTCCGACAGGTTGCCAACAAAGTGATGCGGCCATGAAGTTAGCCAAAGTTCAGGTGAGGTCTGAATGGCTCCACAGTCTGTAGCCTTCCTTCTTGGTTTGTTTTTTTGAGCAAACTCTCACCATGTTGCCCAGGATAACCTGAAAATTACAATTTTTCAAGGCATCCTCCTGCCTCAGCTTCCTGAGTAACTGGGATTTCAGTCACGTGCTGCAATGCCTGACGAGAAGCTGTGTTTCTAAACTCTATATCATGGTCATACTTGAATGCATTCACCACATGGACATCCATTCATTTATGGAACATACTAATTATTTAGAATAGGCCAAGCCTGGGACCAGATTCTATACTTTCCTAATTCTTGAGCAAGCCTCTGAACCCAAGGAAAATATGAGTGGTTATCTTCTGCATCCCATGCAGGCCAAGACAGGTCCAGGGCTGGACCCAGGCTCTCCCCCACCCCTTCAAATGCAAACCCTTTGGAGCTCTAGAGCTGGAAGCCTGGCCTGGTGGGTCAGAAGTCACATGACTAAGTCCTCTGGAAGGAGCAGAGAGCTACAGGGAGATTCTGTTGCCACAAAATCTAGAATCCTTGGACAATGCCATGAGTTACTGTGTCGCCCCACCACAACCATGAAAACCTTTCAATGGACATCACTGTTCATAGAAAAAAAAAACCAAGCTCCTAAGAAGGGACACATCTTGCCTGTCTCCTTAGCTCTGCTCCTAGGTGGACTGCCAGGTCCTGACTGGAACATGCAGAGCCTGAGCAGGCAGCCCCTCCCCTCGGCATGCTCACTCCTCTCTCTCCTGCTGGGCTAACTGCCTACCCCACTTAGGGAGGTCCTAGCTAACTGCCTACCCCACTCAGGGAGGTCCTAGCTAACTGCCTACCCCACTCAGGGAGGTCCTAGCTAACTGCCTACCCCACTCAGGGAGGTCCTAGCTAACTGCCTACCCCACTCAGGGAGGTCCTAGCTAACTGCCTACCCCACTCAGGGAGGTCCTAGCTAACTGCCTACCCCACTGGGGGGGGGTCCTAGCTAACTGCCTACCCCACTCAGGGAGGTCCTAGCTAACTGCCTACCCCACTCAGGGAGGTCCTAGCTAACTGCCTACCCCACTCAGGGAGGTCCTAGCTACTCTGTGCTGTCGCTTCCTCCAGGAAGCCCTGCCTAGGTTTTTAGCAGCTGAAGATCCCTGTCGCGTGCTCCTGCCAGTGCAGTGACCGTCCTCCTCGGTCCTGGAAGAAGCCATCTACGCATCTGCGGTCCAGAGACCTGGCTATTTGGCTGGGGCCTTCCTCTGCCTGGCTCTGCTGTCAGGGGACCCCAATCACCCAGAAGAGGTGCAAGGCCCCAAACCTCAGAGCAAACAAAATGTACTTGCAGGAAGCGTCTTGTTTTTCCATATCATTACCAATGAAAAAAATTACAGTGCTTATGAAAACCACATAAAATGTATTTGGCGCTATCTGTACCTTGGGGTTATCAAAGCCCACAGTCCTTGTGGCAGGCAGGGCCCCCTGATATTGGTGGTCTGGGCACCTTCTTATCACTGCACAAATGCTAGGCAACTCAACAGTTTAGGGGCAGGCTGATCACAAATTTACCCTATGCTCCTAATTCATGCTTGCGGCCTTAGTCCACCTCAGCTAGGTGTGGCCTGTATCCCAGGCAGGCCAATGACACTTGAATTTGGCTCTGAGGTCCCTAGGATTCTGGTGTGGACTCTGGCTTTAGGTTCATGTTTTAGTTCTCAAGGCCAGACTCAGTTTCCTCCTCCAAAAAATGAAAATAATAATAGACCGTGATGAGCCCTTGAGAAGATACTCACATACACCATAACACACACACACACACACCACATACATACACACATGCATACACACACGTCACATACACATCCCACACATATACACCACACACACACTACACACTACATATACATTCACAGACACAACACACACACCCATACACACCACACCCAACACACACACAGACATACACCATTCACATATACACACCATACATATACCACACAAACACATGTACACTACATACACATATACCACATACATATATACCCATACACACACACACACACACCACATATACATACATAGACACAACACACACACCCATACCCACCACACACAGATACAACACACACTCACACACAACACACACACATACATACACCATACACATATACACACCATACACACACCACACACACACACCCCATATCCCCAATACCACACACACTCTCTATCTATCTATTGTCTGTCTGTCTGTCTGTCTGTCTGTCTGTCTGTCTGTCTGTCTGATCTAATCTCCAGAGCTAGAGATGTAGAGTGTTTAGTAGAGTGTTTACCTAGCAAGCACGAAGCCCTGAGTCTGAAGACTTGAGGCTGAGGTGTTTGGCTACAAGCTCCCCTTGATCACAGACTCACTTACCTAGCTCTTTTCTACCTGGGTTGTTCTTTCTTTAAAGTGTGTGTGTGTGTGTGTGTGTGTGTGTGTGTGTGCGCGCGCGCGCGCGCACTTGGAACAAAGCTTGAGGGAGCCAGCTCTTTACTTCTATTACGTAGATTCAGAGACTTGAACTCAGGTCATCACACTTGGTAGCAAGCGCCTCACCGGCTAAGCCGCTTCACTGGCCCTCCAGCCGGGTCTTGCCATGCCTTCATCCCTGCTCCCAGACGGCCACTCCCTCTGGGCCAACCCAGGAGCAAGTCTCATGGCTGAGGCCATAGAGAAGTCCCAGCCACCGCCCCAGCAACAGCCAAGGGGAGGCAGCCTTCACCTCTGCCTCCTGGGGGCTCCCACTGAACCTGCCAGCGGCACCCACCTTGGGAAATTCCAGGAAGAGAACGTGAACTTCATGGGTAGCGTTGGCGACCTGAGCTACGCAGCCCTCAGGGACCTGGCTGGTGGTGTACGTCACCTCACTCCTCGTGGGGTCCACAGGCTGTAGGTCACAATGGACTCTTTCTGCAAGACCTGGGGTAAAACACAGTGGGAAAGCCGGTCAGGTAAGAAGGCGACGAGGCCAGGAGTGTAGATCAGTGGCAGAATGTTTGCCTGGCATCTGCAAGGCCCTAGGTTCAATTCCCAGCGCCAAGAGGAAAAAGTACCAAGTATATTCTTATTTTTTTTTTGTTGTTGTTGTTTTTCTCTGAGACAGGGTTTCTCTGTATTGTTTTGGAGGCTGTCCTGGAACTCACTCTGTAGACCAGGCTGGCCTCGAACTCACAGAAATCCACCTGCCTCTGCATCCCGAGTGCTGGGATTAAAGGCCTGCACCACCAACGTCCGGCTGTTCCTATTCTTTTAAGAAGTTATTATTACTAATATTTGGAGATGGAGTTTGATGTATCGAGTCTGGCTTTATATTTGTCATATAACCAGGGATGGTCTTGACCTCCTCATCCTCCTGCCTCCATTTCCAAAGGCTGCGATTGAGTGTGTACCACCATGCCTGGATACAATCCCATTTACTTTTTGTTTGGTTGCGTTTTTTGTTTTGTTGTTGTGTTGTTGTTTTTCAAGACAGGCTTTCCTCTGTGTAACAGCTCTGGCTGTCCTAGAACTTGCTTTGTAGACCAGGCTGGCTTTGATCTCACAGAGATCTGCCTGCCTCTGCCTACCAAGTGCTGGGATTAAAGGCGTGCACCGCCGCCGCCGCCGCCACCACCACCACCGGCATGTAAATTCCCTTTCTGAATATTTCCTGAACACTTGGTACGAGCAGAGATCAAGCTGTCAAGGCATCTTCATAGCTACCCTACATGGTAGATATCATTTCATACATTCCACAGAAGGAGAAACTGAAGCTCAACCAAAGAAGGCCTCTCCCAGAGTTGTAGTGTTACTAGGTAGAATGTTGGAAGATAAAAGTCAGGGCACTAATTAAGTCTGAGTTTCAAATAAACCTGACTCATTTTTCAAGGTATAATTTTAATATATAATTATATATTTACACTACAAAATGTTTATTGTTTATCTGAAATTCAAATTTAACTGTTTTTGCAGGGAAGGTGTTATATGTTTGTTTTATGTTTGGGTTTTTTGTGTGTGACAGGTCTCACTGTTTAGTCCTGGTTGATCTAGAACGTTCTATGTAGACCAGGCTGGCTTCGAACTCACAGAGCTCCACCTGCCTCTGCTTCCCCCAGTGCTGGCATTAAAGGCGTGCGCCACCGTGCCCAGCTCTCCACTACTTTTGTTTGCTGTGGCAGGTGACCCCCGAGCGGCAGGACCCATGGCGGACGGACCCCAAGTATTACAGTCAGTTCAGTCCAAAGGAAGGTAGGGGTTGCGGTAGGGAGCCCGGTTCCCCTCTTCTGACCTCAAGGTGTCCGTCCCTAAGAGGCAGCTTCTGCGGAAGGAATTTCCTGCCTCACCGGGAGCAGCCCAGGTTGGAAGGCAGTGATGGAGCAGGCCTCACAGCCTGCTGCAGGGCGGCCCGGAAACACGGGTCCCAAGGGAGAGCCATGGAATTTCACCCTGACCCAGCAGAGGAGGAAGAGGAAATGAGGCCTCTACACCTCGTCCTAAGGAATGTGCTGAGGGGAAGGGGGGCCGTGGAGGAGGGACAGAGGAGGGGAGACTGTTTGGAAGTTTATGTCTCCATCTTGTCGTGCTCACTTCCTGTTTTCTTGGAGATCAAAGATGGGCGAGGAGGGCCAGGCTTCACGTCCAGCTGACGCCCGCCGGTCTGTGCTGGGGATGGGGGCAGCGGGGGTTCTTCCTGAACCCCAGGCGCCTGGGGCCTGACCAGCCTTCTTCCCCGCCTTTGTAGCTAGCCTGTTGAGCCCCAAAGCACCGAGGTCAGAGAAGGAGGTAGGATGGCTGCCTCACACCCTGTCAACACTGTCCCTCATCTCCATCTTGGGCAGAGAGCTGGGACAGGTACAGCTGTCTGCTGCAGGAGCTCAGACCCTATTAGCTGCTGCCCTAGTCTCCAGTGTGTTAGGGACATTGGAGTGCTTGGAATATGGTGTTTTTGCTCGAAGTAAGTTCCTGGGATCCGGGCCCAGTGTCTAATTCTGATTAGCTGTGGCTTTGGGGGCGATTTCAGCACTTGGGCTGTACAACATCAATAAGGGAGGAAACCACACATCCCTGAAGGTTTCTGGGAGCATGTTGTGAGGCAGGTGGGTCTTTCTTGCCTGTGTTTGCTGCAGACGTCGACTGTTTAAGGCCTGGGGTGAAGCAGGAGGCCAGGGCGGTCACAGGGGTCCCCCTCACCCCAGTAGACTCAAGGCTTGACCCCCCCTCCTGTTGTCAGTTTTCCTTCTGGTCCACTCCTACTGCTGCTCACTCAAACATAGGCTCCTACCTAGATATCCCGAGGGACCAGATAATTACATCAAGGTCATACATGCATGCATGCATACATACATACATACATACGCCTGGCCTCTGGTCTCCCACTCCTCTCCCCGCATGACCCAGGATCTGACCTACAGATCTCTGGACTTTCCCTGCCTCCCTCCCAGACTTCCAGGAACCCCAGTTCCTCTGGCATTGCTGGGCTGCCTGGGGCCGCCTCCTCCATGCCGTCAGCCAGCGCCAGCAGGAGAGGCCACAGGCCTGGCCATTATGTAATGATCAGATAACAGGCCAGGCTGGGAGATCAGATAAGAGGCCCATTTATTTTGGGGCCTTTTCGAATACTGGTTGCCCCCACCCCACAGACGAGAATGGGGAGACAGGAGGGAGTGTGACGCCTGAGCCTGTCTCCAGCAGCCCAAGGCGGGCCCAGGCCAGCTGAAAACAATCCCCTGGCACCAAGGGAAATGCGGGGCCTCCCGGGAACTGTTGGAGAAGGCGCCGCTGGGGGCCCAGAAGTCACCCTTGGAGAGAGCTGGGTGACCCTGACCTCCTGAGCAAGCGTTTGGAGCACCCTTGACCCTCTCTTCCTCCATCCGCACCTGCCAGCACGGGGCCTCACACAGCCAGCCCCTCCCTATTCCACCCCAAACAACTCTGGGAGGCATAAAGTCACTCTGGAGCCAGGTGGCTTGCACACCTCTACGAGCCTGCAACCGGAGCTTGCAGAGATGACAAGCTGGGCGATACCCACCACAGAAGCTTCTGTCGTGCTCACTGTCTGGGGCCTTTGCGTGAGTAAACTCCCTGGGTCCTTATGGTAGACCTTAGAGGTGGATGCTTCTTACGCCCATTTTACAGGCGGTCAGAGAGGCTGAAGAACTTCTCTAGGAGACCCGTACTCAGCGGGCGGCAGGGCCTGGCTTCAAAGTTCTAGCACCCAGCCGGGTGGTGGTGGTGCATGCCTTTAATGCCTTTAATCCCAGCACTCGGGAGGCAGAGGCAGGCGGATCTCTGTGAGTTCGAGGCTGGGCTGGACCAATAGCCTCCAAAACAATACAGAGAAACCCTGTCTCGTAAAAACCAAAAAAAAAAGTTCTAGCACCCACATGTACTGCGTGAGTGTATGTGAGACATCAGGTACCCACGGGTGCTGGGAACGTCCGTGACAGCGAGGATGGTGCTTTCTGATAAAAGTCTTCTCCAGTCACCTGTCACCCACCCGACCGCCCTCTATCCTTTCAGAGTTGAGTGACAGCCTCACAGATGTCCCATCTCCCAGCCGAGCTACCATGTCTTTCCCACAGGGTCACACGGGGCGGTGACAATCCTATGCCATCCTCACAGAGTTGGTGCGCATTCCCAGGCTGTCACGTTCACAGGGCTGAGCCACCTGCTGATGAATGGAGATTGCTCTGGAACTGCTGTGGCAACTGTGTCCTCCCAGTCACTGGGGTAAACAGTTCCTCCAAACACGCCTTGCTTCCTCAGACCAACAGCCACCCTTTAAGATTTATTTTTAGTTTTATGTGCATAGTGTGTACCTGCATGTATGTGCACCACCTGCATGCAGTGCCCACAGAAGCCAGAAGAGGGCATCAGATCCCCTGGAACTGGAGTTATATTACGGATAGCTGTAAGCTACCATGTGGGTACAGGGAACCAAATCTTGGTCCTCAAGAGAACAGCAAGTGCCGGGAACTGATGAGCCGTCTGTCTAGCCCCCAGCGGCCATCTTTTATTGACCATGTGGCCAATTTGTTAGCCTTTTCTTGAAACAGTTGCCTCCTAGCCAGGCGGTGGTAGTACACACCTTTAATCCCAGCACTTGGGAGGCAGAGATAGGTGGATCTCCGTGAGTTCAAGGCCAACCTGGTCTACAGAGTTCCAGACCAACTAAGGCTACACAGAGAAACCCTTGTTTGTCTTGAAAAACAAACAAGAAAAAAGGAGAGAGAGAGAGAGAGAGAGAGAGAGAGAGAGAGAGAGAGAGAGAGAGAGGGATGGACGGACTCTCCTTTTTTAGGTTCATCAGGACCTGATGTCCCAGAGTCCCGGGTGCTCGGGTCTGGACTTCATTGCATTTGTCTATTTTGACAGGTTTGAGTTGCTTTCTTTCTAGTCTATGTGTGGGTGTAAGTGTGTGAGGGTGCATATGTGTACATGTGTACGCGTGCGCACGCGCGTGTGTGTGTGTGTGTGTGTGTGAAGCCAGAAGTTAAACCGAGTTGTTCCTCATCAGCCACACTCCTTATTTTCTGAGACACGGTCTTTCACTAGACTGGCGCTCTCTGAGCAGGCTCAGCTGACTAGCCAGTGAACCCCAGAGATCCTCCAGTCTCCTCATTAGTACCAGGACTGCAAGTGCCTAGAAGCAAATCTGGTTTTTATTATTGTTGTTGTATGAGTTCTGAGGATTGAGTCGGGCCCTCAATGCTTGCACAGCAAACATTTTACTAGCCGAGCAATCTCTTGAACCTTGTTTTTTTAAGTTTTAAGAGGGTCTCAGTCTGTAACTTAGGCTGGCCTCAGTCTCACAGAGATCCCCCTGCAGGCTCTGCCTCCCGAGTGATGTGTTTAGAGGTATGTGTCACCACACCTGGCCTAGGCTGTTGTTGGTGGTGATGTTTTTTTTGTTTGTTTGTTTGTTTTTGTTTTTCGAGACA